TGATAAACTGAATTCCCAGTCTAGCATTCTATCACAGGAGAGCTAACTGGCATTTTCTGCAGCAGGCTTTATAAGAATGGGAAAAAAAACCCCTTCCTGTAACAGGCACTGCTTCTGCGCTGTTGTAATACAAGCTTTTTTGTGCTCCTGCATTCTTCATGTCAAATCTCTTCATTAGCAATACAGGCATCATTATGTGCAAGTAGAGCAGAAGTTCATCCCATAGAGACAAGTGTCATTTGCCTAACATGATTTTGTCTGTCTTACTTCAAGAAAAAAAGAAAACAACCAACAAAACATGATGGACAATATTACCTGTATGTGTTCTTAGATGTTTCTTTAACTGAGCTGCATCCATGAATTTGCGACGACACTGGTTACATTCCGGCAGTGAATGGCCTTGTCGCAATAACAAAAAAAGTGTCAGTGCATAAGTGATCCCCTGTATTTCTTCAGTGATCTTTGTTAAAGCACTTTCCTGTAAAATAACCACTTTGATATAATATAGAGGTAAAACAAAACGTGATTCACTGCCTCCTCCCTATCTTAACTGTCATGCTCCTATTTCTCTATTTGATATTATCATGGCAAAAGAGGGGACTGACACCTGCTTCCCCCCCAAACATGCCTTCTCCTGAAGCTTTGTAACTTCTGATTTTTGCTACCACTTCCTGTGTGTGTAGCTTAATCTCCATCCTGCTCCAGAAGTGAGGACACTTCTTAAAGCTTGTTTGCCATTACTAGTTCAAAGTAGTGGGAAACAAGGCAATTTGCACAACAGGCAGCGGACGCAGTTGTTTATACAATTCCTAGCTTCTGGGCGTAACTAATTTTTAATCATTGTAAGAGTCCTTCTCGATTAACTATTTTTCTAAACATTCCATTTATTATACACCATTTTGTCTTTTTCACCCTATTCATTGTTATATCAAGATACCACACATCAGGGTAGCAGAGACTAAATATCACTGAAGAAGAATTTTTGGCTTTAGCCAATCTTCAGGAGGACAAATGAGCACAGACTGTAAGCCAGCTCTTCAACCCAAACTTGCTATACCTGTGTGTACTCGATAGTGGCTCTTGAGCTGTCTCTTTTGGCTGAAGTATTTCCCACACTGGTCGCATGTAAAAGCCTTCTGCCCTGTAAAGAAAATCACTTATTAAAATGTAAGCCACATACAAAGCAAGCGTAAGGAAATAAATAAATAAAACCAGCACACACAAGAGAGAGCCTTTTTCCAGAAAGGCAAATTCCTGGGGGAAGAGAGGTTAGGTTTGCCTTGAAATATTTACCTGTATGTAGGCTCATATGCTCCAGAAGAGAATGTTTTGTTGTCAGAGCCTTACTGCAGACAGTGCAAGTGTATGGCCGTTCTCCAGTGTGCATCCGCTCATGGACTTGAAGAGAATGCTTCTGGGAAAAGCCTTTGCCACACTCACTACACTTAAAAGGGCGCTCCCCTAAAAGCAAAAGATGACATTTTTAAGTATAGATGCATTATTTCTCACTAGATATTCTAAGCTGATAGTGAGATGCACTGCAATGTAGTAGCTACTAAAAAAATGACTTTTGAGTAGCAATAAGGAGAATTAAGAGACAAGCTTCACACAGCAATAAAATAATTCTTTAAGTATTGCCATATAATTCAACATTTAAACAAAGAAATTATTAACTAAACTGCAATCAAGGTAAGACATAAAGGCAACAAGATCTGCTGACAAGAATAAAACGGCAAACGCAGAAGACACACTGTAATTTGGATCAGCGTGCTATTCTGGACAGTTCTTGCTGTAGACAACAGCCCACGTTTCAACTACCTCGCATTTAGCAACAAGTCGCTAAACCCTAACCTAGAAGCAGCAGTCTCTTAATGCCTACCTGTATGGCTTCGCTGATGAATAGCTAAGAAGTGATTATATTTAAATACTTTGCCACAGTCTTTACAGCGAGCTTCAGGACCTGCACGTTTTCTTTTTCCATCAGTTCTCTTTGCCAGTCCTTTTTCATCCTCATCACCGAGAAGTTTATAATCTTTTAGTTTGATTGATCTCCTTATTCTACGTTTGCTATAACGGCTCTGAGTGCTCTGTACTCCTTCAGATTTGGGATCATAATTCTCATCTTTCTCAGCTGACAGACCGACAGCAGCTTCTGAGCCACAAGCAGGTTCATTTTCTTCTGCATCTTTCCTCGCTGGAGCGTGTTCGCTGGCAACTGTTTCTTCTTCTGCTGCAGTGTCTTTTTTAATAAAATTTTGCTTATTTTGCATGGAGTTGTTCTCTCTCAGCTGCACATCTTCGACAGAATTTGCTCCCAATTTTTCTTCTTGAACATTCTTGACTTTCCTCGGTCGCCCTCGTTTTCGCTTCGGTGGATCTTCATTCTTCTTGTCGCTTGCAGTAACGGCTACAGAGGCTCCACTGTTAGCCGGAGCTGGTAACGTGTTACTTGGGCTACGGCTGGCCTGATAGTCTGTACAGGCCCATACCAAGTCAGTCACTTTCAGCAGCTGTGCAGTAGCCAGAATTTGTTCTGTGCTTTTTTCGCTGGCACGGAGGCAACCAGTGTAGATAAATTCTAGCAGTGCTCCAAAGGTGTCTGCAACCATTCCCTCCAACATGTAAATTGACTGCCCTATTTCGCCCTCATCTACAAACATCATTGAGAAGTATTCACTGCTGGCAGCAAGCAAAGCTTTATGGGCTCTGAATTGCACATTCTCCACTATTAGTGTAATGTCACAAAGAAAATCCTTTTTCCTTTGTTCTTCAAAATTAGCTAGAATGGTATCTTTGTGAGCTTTGGAGTGGATGACGACCAGTTTCTCAGAAGCATCAGAAGTCGTTTCTGCCATTTTTATTGCGAATATGGAAGGAGATGCCTGCAAGAACAGAATAGCTTTAATAAAGAAATATTTTAGAAGTCTGCATTATAAGACACCAAGTATCATTTGCTTTACCAGTCAACAGAGTTCAATGGTTTCTGAACCAACCCTGAAGCCTCTGAACTTTCTTTAAAAAAATCAACACTAATGCTGACACAGATTTTCTTCAAAAGCATTTCTAAATCCTAAGAAATGGCTACAGATAGCTGCTGCTTAGATCAGAATTACTATTATTTCACTTCTCTCTGATGTACTGTGAACTGTATAGCATCTAAAAAAAATGGCAACCCTTTCTCAAAACTCCTTGCACAACTAAAACAATCGGACAAAAAGAACTCTTTGTTCACAGCTCCTAAGTGGAAAAAAAGAAAGGTGGGGGGGGGGGGGAGGTCAACTGCAGCTTCATCTCTGCAGATGCCACATTTCAGATTATTCAGGGGCAAGGCTATGAAACCCTGTAGTCAATGACAAAACTTCACTGGCATCAGTGTGGCAGGACTCTGTGCCTTCTTTTACCCACTTCTGAAAATTTCTCTTTCAGAAGCTGTTAAGCTTCAGCCTATGGAGGTGGGCTATAAAAGCAGAAAACCAGCAGCTTTTTAAAGAGCTCCATCTAAAATAGCATTGCCTATGCTATTAGCCACCAATTTGGCTTGCTAAGCTTCTTCAATTGTAAATAGGCAAAAATTGAAAACAAGCAAAAAAAAAAAATCCAGCAATGTTAGAAAAGTCCACCAAATACTACAATGGAAGAGATGTGCCAAAAATGTCCACTTCAAGAGGATCAGCTGACCAAAGGTGAAACAGATTAGCTACCCGTCATCCTAACTTACAGAACTGTCACATTACATACAAGTACATGCTTGTATTTGTATTTAGTGAGCGCAACAGTGCCAATCACTTGAGCGAATGCTGTAAGAAACAACATACGCTCCATACAGATGATACCTAAATGCTACTGAGGTGGCCAACGGGTGATTTTTGAGCCCCGTTCAGCTACCAAACAGTTTGTGCTGGAGCCAGATCGTTTTATCGGGGAGCTTTAATTTCTGGAGGTTGCAGGTCTGACCCAACTCTGCCTTCCAGGACCTCCTGAAGAGCTGCTGCCAACTCTGCCCGCAGGCTTTCCCCAACACCCACACGTGTCTCGGATCCACCGGGTAGCGGGTGTTTTGATGGCACGAAGGACTTTGGCACCCGATCGCGAGGTGACCTGAGTACTTTGTGAGATCCAAACCAGTAGGCTTACCCAAAACCCCTAATAACTCTAGGGGAAGGCTGCACACAAGGGGAAGGCACCCGCGCTGCCGGCACCGTGCTCGGACTCGCTCCAGCCCATCTGCTGACGGGCTGTGGAAGGGCTCACGGGCAACGCGCCCGGTTTT